TTAAATAATTCACGTTGATTTAGGAAGCTTTGTTTCTAATGGGAGCCACAAGACTGCAGAGTTAATATTAGAACAGACCAGGAAGAAGAGTGAAATGGGGAGGAAGACAGGGAAAATGCCCTTTTAAATAATTAAACGGATATCTACCATCGTCCCTGCCTGTTTCCAATCCCCTTACCCTTTCTACTTCCTTTTCTCATGGCATTTATTACATCCGCATAACTATGCAGTGTTCTTGTTTTTTTCTGTTTGTTATTTATTGGCTGTCTCTCTCTCTCTCTCTCTCTCTCTCTGCTAGAATCCAAGCTCCACCAGGGCAAGGGTGCCTTTCTCTTTCATTTACTGATGAATCTCGAATGCCCCCCATCAATGCTTGACACATCATAGGCTCAGTAAATATTTGCTGATCGAATCCTTGGCACCCATTTCCTCCCTTCTCTGGGTCCCCCAACTCCTTGCTTCCCAAGTTTCCAGGCAGTTAGAAAGATCAAATGCAGTATCAACCCTACAACTCTGGCCCCAAACAGTTTGGAAAGTTCTTCAACTTGCAGGTTTCTGCAGAGAGGAGGAGTGGTCTGTGAAAGGAAAGGAGCGACACACAGTAGCAATTCACCGGAGAAATCTGCTTTACTGGGGAAAGGTGCTGGGTTATACAGGAAGGGGCATGGGGTGATTGTGGTGTTACTTCTACGGGGCTGGTGGCTATTGGCTAGGTGCTGGGAGTGGGAGTGGGGAGAGAGGTGATTGGTCTTTAGGTGGCGCCGTCGGGGAACCGAGGACACGGAAGAGAAGCCGGAAGTTCGCCATCTTACTGGTGGGGGCCCTTCAGTCTGCTTGCGTGTGTAACTTTAAAATGTATGGCACTTTAATGTGTATATGTATGTTAGTTTGATGTTCACAATTCTAGGAGATTGGTATTTTTGCAATCTCCAGTTTATAGATGAAGAACCAGAAACTCCATTCATTCACTCATTCATTCATTTATTTAAAAAAAAACCCAAATATTACTGAAATGCCTACGCTGTACTAAGTACTGGCTATAGAGAGCTGAACCAGAGGCCCAGGGGAAGCTCTAAGGACCTTGCCCGAGGTCACCCAGTGTGTAAGCTGTATGCAGGCATTCTGCTGCCCAGCCCAGGTTTCTTGCTCCTTACACCACAGCGCTGCACACGTGCACGGGAGCCTGAGGACACCAGCCATGCCGAGTCCCTGCAGAGATGGCTGGCTACACAGGGAGGACTTTGGCGTTACAATGTACAGCCAAGTCCAGAATCCCAGGGCTGGGCAGGAGTTTGAGAGGCCCCACCTCTAGCCTCCAAGTGGGATGCTGTCTAAAACACCTAAATCAGTTACCTTTGGTGCCTGCCTCACCATATGAACCCTGGTTCCAGTGGCGGTGGGCCATTTTCCTAAACTAGTTGGTGCAGCAAGTTGGGCTCCTTGTGGTGGAAGTCATGGCTTTTGGAGTTCTTAGAGATCATCTTATTTATCACTGCCTTCATTTTACAAATGAGTTAACTGAGACCCAGAGAGGTTGATCACACAGATGGATAAAAGCACCATGAATGTTGCCTGCATCTACTGCTGTGAATCATGGTACTGTGATTCCTGAGATATTGTGGGGGTGGAAAGATGACTGCCTGACCTGGCCTGAGTCAAGGATGCTCTTTAGCAGCTGGCTGTGTCACAGAGGGAATACAGCCTGGCCCAGCCTTTGCCTTGCTCAGCTTTTCAAGCTCCATCCTGTCCTCTCTTCCCCTGCTCAGCCCCCAGCTCCCTTCCTCTGCCCCCTGGGGTAGCAAATGCTCAGCTCAAGTTGTTCTTTCCCTGATTGCATCTGAGAACAAGAAACACAGGGCTAATTAATGTGTCTGTGACTCCAGGCTTGGCTGCCGGGCCTGGGTCCCCACGCCCTTCCCTGGAGCGAGCAAGGCAGGCTCTGTGAGCTGGCCCTCTGGTTTCGCTGAGCAGGCTGCTGGCAGATGCATATTTTAACGGTGCACATCTGTTGGCTATATAATTTCTTGTATTTGCCCTCCTCACTTGGTGCTCTAATGGAAGACCCCCGGGAGTCTCCCTCTGTTCTAGCCAAAGTGTTTGCTTTGCAATTTTGCTGGAATACCATCTGATTCTGCTCTCACATCTTCTGCAGGTTCTAATCAGGCTCTTACTTTATTTAATTAAAAATCTATCTCAGGCAAATACAGACTAAATTAGGAAGCTCTTTCACTGCTGGAACACAGGGAAGGCAGCTCCCACTTGGGGAACTGGCTGGGACATTTTCCCAGGCTGGGATGTCACAGCAAAGCAGATGGGGTCTTGGTTGGGAAACTGGCTGGCCAGGGTAGAAACACTCCTCTCCCCTCTGCTGGAAGAGCCACTCTGTCTACCCACAACCCTAATAGACCAGGGCTGCCTTTCCAGAAGGTTGGGTCAGCTCCCATGCCACAGAGAAGCTCAGCCAGGCTGGATACTCCAGGCAGAGTCCTGGATGAGGACCTGCAGGACCAGCTTGGGGGTGAGGACCTGCAGGATCAGCCAGTGGGTAGGGACCTAGGGTGGCCCTGGAGAATTGGGAGGCCTGGGGAAACTCCTTCCTGCCTGGGTTAGGCTGTTAAGAAGGAGTGGTTTTTACGGAGCCTTACGGAGGCTGATGGACAAATGTCTGCTCAGGTGCCCTTTCTGGGTCTCCGGAATTCCACTCAGGCCCTCTTACTAGGTTCCCTGGAAACTCCCCCTTTCCTATCTTCAAATGATTTACAGACTTGGAAAATATCTCCTGTTCATGCACCAGTTCTGTGCCCAGAAGGCAGTGCCATGTCACACCCCTGGAGAGGGAGAAGGGGGAGTGAATGCATATCAGATGTGACCCAAGACAAAATTGAGTTGCTCAGATCTGATCCCGAGGCCCTGCTCTCAGACCCTACCTCTTAGCCGGCCAGACAAAGGTGATTCTGCTGGCATTTAGGAACATGGAGTCTGGACAGACAGCGTTTGGAGTTGGAAACTCTGGGGTCTATTTTGAGTGTTAAATTAAGCAATGTGACCTCCTGGGAGTACCTATGCCTCTCTGAGTCTCAATTCCCTTGCCAGTAAAACATTGAGAATAATTTGGACTCTCTCATCTAGCTGAGCTCCTAGAAAGGAAAGGAGGCTGTGAATGGGAGGGTCTGAAGGGGTGAAGCCTGGTTCCGGGACAAGAACGTAAGGATGAGATGCGTCTGTCTATTTTGGGTCTTGTGTGAAGTCAGGGGTGGCAGTACTTAGGTTCTCATTTGAGCATTCTCTGGTGCCCTCCAGAAGGCGTACGAGACAGAAGGCTGAACCTCTAGAGATGAACTCCCTGCAGCTTCCCTTAGCAAACCTATGCTGGCATTGTGCAACCTTCAAAAATCAGAGTGTGCATCAGGCACTAAATCCCCCTTCAAATCCCACACCAAACTGTACACCTGTTCCCATTTTTGCCAGTGTCTCAGGAGGGATGACGACAGGTACCCCTCCCTTTAACATCCCTGGTTGCTTTCCTGCAGGCCCACTTCCCTACCAAGTAATCCCCACCTGATTCCCCTGCCAGACCCAGTTTATTTTCTCACTCCTTTCATCACAGGCTAGAGGAGACTCAGAGGTTGAAGGAGGTTTCTGAGGCTGGCCCGAGTTCCTCCTCCCTGATTCCAGAAGCCAAGCTCCGAGCGTGGGAAGCTGTCCTCTGGGGCCTGCCTGCTGCTGTGCTCAGGATAATCTGCCTCATGTGCTGGCCATGTAGATCTGAAGATAACCTGACACGCTCTTAAATATTTCATCTCCGAGCAGCCGTGTGCCTTATACACCAGGCGAGGAGGCAGCAGCCCAGCTGCAGGCCTCGTTGTCAAATCTTCACAGCAGCTGTTGAGAGGCGGGCAGGGGGAATGGAACTCCCTCCTTCCCCCCAACCCCCCACTACTGCTGCTGCCTTATCTCCTGTGCGGCCTGGCAGAGGAGCATGGAGGGAGGCTGTGATGGGCAGCAGCAGCCCCAGTCAGGAGACCCTGGGCTGGCCCCTCGGCCTCTCTGAGCCTCAGTTTCTTATCAGGGGCAATAATCCATCCCGCAGACTTGCATCAGAGCAGGTAACGTAACATTAGGGAAAAGGCTTTGAGAGTCCCTGTAAAGTGCTATGGAAATGTGAGCTATTATTATTTATGTGCAGAGCCAGCTCCCAGGGGGCCTCCATCCTCTTAACATCTGGCTGGAGGAGGAGGACAGAGTCTAAGTGGAAAGCTGCACCCACTCCCTCACCTTCAGGTCGGTCTGCCAGAGGCAGGGCTTCTTCAGGCAGGATGTCCCGGGGACACTGGGCTCCTGGGAAGCCCAGATGAACCAGAGACCAGGAGGAAGAGGTCTGACGTGGAACTAGAGGTTGAAAAGAATTTCTCTAGGAAGAACTTAGGCTGCCTAGTTCCTCACCTAAGAGACAGAATTCCCAGGGAGCAGTGGGGGTGGGGAAAGAACCAGCTCAGCGGTGGTCCCTACGGATGCTGGCATCAGAGGGGAATCAAGCTCCAGGCTGAGTCTGACAGCTGGCTGAGGGCAGGGGGGCTCTGTTAGCATGCACAGGGGGTCACTCAGGGATGGGTTACATTCTTCTCTGCACCTCTATTCCTAGCACAGGGCCTGACACAGGTCACGTGTGCAGAACATGCTTTCTGATTGAATAAATAAGCACCCAGGAGCCCTTTTTAGTTCCCCAAGCTGGAGTCAAGCACACTGGGATTGGACCTATGGGGTCACGGGTCGGTTGGCATTGTCCTCCTGATTTCCAGGACAGGAACTTTCCCTTTCCCCCTTTTGTGGGGAAAGGGGTCCTGACACAATGGGATAGCAGTGGCCAGAGCCCTGTGGGACGATGCCTGGGGGCTCTGGCCTGCAGAGAGGCCCCTCCAGTCTGGCTGGAAGGAACAGTCTTGGAGCAGAGCCGTGGTGCTTCCCAGAGCACCCCCACCCCCACTTGCTGAGGGTCTTACCCAGGACGGTGAGGCGTGCGGGGCGGGACCGGATGGCAGCCTGGATGGCCTGGCACTCATACACAGCATCATCCTGCAGCTCTGCCCGCAAGATCTTCAGGTGATGTTCCCCCGACAGGTGGTTCCCTACCACCAGGTACTGTGGGTAACCTGCGGAGACAGCGGGCATATCAAGGGGGGCTGGGGCAGTGATGGCAGACACATTCATAACAGGCAGGCACAGCGGGGGGACCCCTGAGCAGGGGCTGGTCTTAAAGGCTGGCAGAGCAGGCAACTGCCAGGGCCCTGATCTCAGTGTAAGGAGAACAGAAATAAGGACTTTCCCAGGGGCTTAGGGCCATGTGTGCATGTGTGTGTGTGTATAGGGTTTAAGATTTAGGGTATCAGATTTAGGTTTAAGAATTTGGGGAAGCTATTATTAGAGAAGAAGGAGAGAGCAGAGGTGGAAATGCTGAGCATGGACACAGCAGGTCGGTACTCCGGCAAGTGGTGCCCTCAGCATTGTGGTTTACCAAGCAGGCATGCATTTTGATGAGAAGACACACAGAGAGACAGAGAGATCCAGGCTGAGATTCACAAACAGAAGACAAGCAAGAGCGAGAAGGAAGAAAACACAGAAATACTTGGAACAGGATCAAGGGAGACTTTAGGGGAAAAGTTTTGTTTTGGGATGGATAAGAAGTAAAAATCTAGGCCCCTCCCCACTACCAGTGCCCAGGACCCTCTGGTCCCTTTGAACCACAAGTGGTCCTTTTCTAGTCTTTCCTACTACTTACCCCAAACCCCAGGGCCTGATTAAGCACTTATGAGATGCTCTGGACACTTAGGAATTTGGGGCCCCTTATACCACTGGTGATGAATAATAGATAAATAGAAGCTTGAGAATGATAAATGATTCATCAGCTTTCCCGCTGCTGTGTAGAGTGAATATAAATCCCAGCATAAGTTGTGGCTGGCCAGGTGGGGCGGATACTCTCTTTCCTGTGTCTTGGGTCCTAAACGTCTGCTGTACCTCCCAGGAGGATCTGTTTTCCATCCATCCCTTTACCCGAGCTCTGCCACTGCCCCCGCCAGTCCCTCCCTGTCCTGGTCCCCTCCTCAACTCGGAGGCCCACCCACCTTCCAGTGGCCCCAAACTGCTTCTCTTTCTGAAGGATCTTCACCAGGACAGCATAAGTGCTCAGAGATGAGCCCTAGGAAAAGGGGATTTGGCACATTGGCCTTTTAAAGAGAAGACTAGGGGTTAAGCAAGTGAGAAAGATGCAGAAACAGAGACAAACTGAGGGACATGCAATAACTCTCCTCAATTATTTCAGGGCCTTAATGTGGGTTAGAAGCATTCATGTAGCTCCCAAGGACAGCACCGGCCCCAGTGGGCAGAATTAATATGGGGAAATATTTTAGGATGTTTTGAACAGTTTGAGATGTTCAACAAGGACCTGGCTGCCAGAGGTGATAGTGAGGTCCCCATCACTGGTTGTATTCAAGCAGAGGTTGGATGATTGCCGATCAGGGACACTGCAGAGGAGATTTCTACCCTGGATGAAATACTGGAGTCCTAAGGCCCCTCTCACCTCCATAAGCTAAGGGTCTTCCAGAGGCGGGGCAGGGCTCCCTGAGGTGGGCTGTGCAGGACCATCAGCACCCACTGGGCACTGGACGTAGCTCTGATACTCTGCTAGTCCTCTCAGTATGGTTTTTGGGTGCTTCCTGCAAGGCTGAGTCCCTCAGGCTCATGTCTTCGGGGCTAGCATCGTCCCCATCACACAATCAAATGGCCCTGCCTTCCACAGCGGGTCAGGCCTGCCGGAGATGCTCACAAGGCAATCCGCAGTGCCTCCCAGAGCACCACCTCCTCTACTGGCTGTCCTCCGCCCTCTGCTAGGCCCTTGGAGGGGGCCTGGTACATCAAGCTGGCTCTTTCCAGGGCCAGGCTGGGGCTGGAAATGGGTTGCAGTCCAGTCCTCTCCCTGCAACTCCCTCCATGTAGCTGCCTCCCCGCCCCCAGCCCTTCTAGCCCAGTCTCTGGTTCCCGCTGTCCTCTGATTAGTCTCTGGTCTCCTGCAGGCGTCTTGGCTGGAGCTTGTGTTTTGTTGTCTCGTAAGTTATTCAGCAGCAGGATTTCTCTCTCTTGAGCTGCTGAAAACATCAGTGATGGGTTTGTTTGTATTTGCCTAATTAGGCAAGAGCTGTGATGTTATCCCAAGGACGGCAGCGTCTTCAGAAAACACGGGCCTGGAAGCATAGTTTCTGATGAAGTTCTAGCTCTTTCCACAGCATCATTACTCTCTCTTGCTCCTCTTAGGGAAGCCAAAACTATGGGGAGTCTGGATTCCACCGTCAAATTGCCTGTGTTCAAATGTCAGCTCTATCACTTCCCCGCTCTGTGGTCGTGGGTAAGCTACGTGAATGTCTTGGTGCTTCTGTTTCCGTATCAGTAAAATGGGGACAATCCTAGTACCTCATGGAGTTCTGGGGGAGATTGGTAGGAAAATCCATGTAAAGTGACTGGCATGCAGTAAGGTGAGGTAGGGTCGCCAAAGAGGTCCTTATCTTTAGAAGTGAGAGCAAACCGGGTGTCTGAGCCTTTTGGGGGTTAGACACCAGCATCCCATGCCTTGGGGTGGGGCATGTGTTTAAATCAATTTCTTTCTCAACTGTGACATTGTTTACCTGTCAAATAAAGGGAGATAGTCTTCTTTTTCTTCCAGTGGATCATTGTAGATTTATGAGATAATGTCTGAGAAGTACTTGAGCTTCTTCAAAGAAAAATGTCCTATCAATATGAGGGCACGTATTTATAAATCATTTCCTTTGACTATTTTTTTCCAGCCTAGGTGACCAGAAAGACAGTTAAGTCTTCAGTTAGAGCATCATTCCTGATAGACTGAATGGGCCACAGTTAAAATAGGAGAAGACAGAGCTGCAGCAGGCTGAAGTTCCACAGTACTGGGACTCAGATTCCCCGCAGAAACACTTGTATTTAGTGCTTGGCAAATACTCTCTGAATTCAACTGAGATCTATTGCTGTCACTTTTTTTTATCAGGCAAGCAAACATTTTTTATTGAGCACGTATCTATCATTCTTGTCATCATGATATTTTGGGGACAGGAGATCAAATACAGAGAAAACGCTTTACCAGGAGTCTGAGCTTATTGGCTCTGCAAGGAAAGGGCCAACCTTCTTTCTATAAATGGGGTCACGTTGGAGAGGAATCAGACCATGCGGTTCATCAGAGCCCATTGTCTTTCAGCACTGAGCAGGACTCAATCCTGATCCCAGAAAGCCTTGCACGGAAATGTTTTCCGTATGGTGATGACCATTCTGAACCATCCATGGTGACCTGGGGCCTCCCCTTGACCATCAGTCCAACAAGATCCCAGTCCCTGACCGAAGGCTGCAAACCACTGACCAGGAACGCAGAGTGGGGTTAACCAGCAGCAATGCTGGGCCAAGCTCAGAGCCATGCGGAGCATGACTGATTCTAGTTTGGGAAGGTTGTCTCATTCTCCCAGTTTCTTTAGGGTAAAGGAGTTCAGAGTCCTTGAAATTGGCTGGTTCCCATAATACTTAGGTTTTATGGCAGCGCAGTATATTTTGGAGATATTGTGTATTTTGTCTGTGCTCAGCTGGGCTGCGGCACTCAAACCCTGTGATGCTATTGACCATTGCTATAATGTTTCAGTATACATTTTTGGCAGGACATAACTCACATTTTTAAATATTAATTTCCCAACCATCATGTTACTGAGTGCACTTCAATTTTTATTTTCCTGCAGCTGTACACCACGAGAGAGCAATTGCTTCTCAGTTGAATACTGAGTATTTTTCTCTCCTCCTTCACCCTCAGCTATTCCCCAGTTGTGGGAACACCCAGATCCTTCGTTCTGGCTTGTACAGTTTATGCAAAGCCTAGCAAACAGTCACATGCTTACCTCCCGAGGGGAGGATAATATTTGCTAATGGGTAAGTGACCAGGAGGATGATTCTGCTCTTTTTCTCCCAGGGGAGAGGACGGATTGGAAAGACATCTGTCTGGGCTTGACATCAGTTAGCAGATGAGGGGCTGTGGCACCAGTCAGGGAGCTTAGATGCCAGCCATGGGAGCCCACAAGCACCCTTTCGCTCAATTCCAGCCTGCATGGGCTCAACAAGGTTTGGGCTTTATTTTAAATATTCCTTTTCTTTCCTTCCCATCATATGGTGACCCTAAAGCCAGCCAGGTTTTTTTGTTTTCTATTTACTCAGCTCCCTTTCATGGATGGGAGCTGGGAAAACCAGGTTGTGACTGAGGTGGGGAATGAATACATTTTGGACCAAGAAACAGGGATGTTTTACCTCTGGAAATCTGGCTCTACATGAATCATGTTTGATTTAGAACAAATCCTCTAGAGCAACATTGTATTAGGTTTAGGACCAGCCGGCAGAATTGAGGACTTAGTTTTAATTCATTACCAGTAGTCAGGGGGGCACTCGGAGTCCTGTGGGTCCTGCACCCAGGGCTCGCCTAACCTGACTGCCCGTGCCATCTGCAAGGAGAGCTGGAGGCTTAATCCCCCAAAGCCTCCGAGGACACAGTGCTCCTAGGGACCGGGGGAGAGGGGAAGAGGCGGGTACTCACTTGAGAGATCCCTGCCCACACCCAGAGCCAAGCCGTCTTTGATCCAGAGAACGAAGCCATCATATTCCGGGATGGCGCACAGCAGCGTCACCGGCTGCCCGGACACCACGGCCTGGTCCTGGGGCTGCTGGCTGAAGGAGTATACTTGGCCTAGGAAGGAGACAAGCACAGCAATCAGTGACTTGCAGACAGTAGTGCCTGGAGAGCTTCCCTGAAACTGTGGAAGCAGAGCTGAAGCTGGCCTGGGGGACAAGCACCCCCTGGAGCGCCTCACTTCCTATCTGCCCTCAGCTTAGTTCCCTGCTTTCAGGAGTGGCTCGCAGCTGTGGCCTCCCTGCTCGCCCACCGCTAATGCCCACTAAGGCTAGGGCCAGCCATCCTCATGACAGCCCCCAAACAGGCCATGCCCCGCTGCACAAGGACGTACTATTTCCCTTTCCGTTTGGCTAATTCCACTGCCACTTGCTCACCTACTTCCACAGGGCACAGGCAGGAGAGAGACCCCCAGGAGAAGCATTTTGCAGAAGGCGTGAGGCAGGGAGGCAGCAGGGGTGGAGAGTGGTGTGTGCTTCGGTTAAACCTAAGAATCCAAGAGGTAAGATTGTTCTAGCGATCCCAGGATGGGTCTCAGGCCAAAGTCAGCAGGGTGGGTGGTGTGATATGCGGCAGAGTGTGGTCAGGGAGCACGTGAATGTCTCAGCTAGTTCTCCCTGTTGCTTTGTTTTCTGCGGCAGACCTTCCCTCAGCTTCACCATCACGTGGGAGGAAAGCACCAGTGTGACCCCACGCCCTCCCCACACATGCCGCAATGCAAGGGGGGCAATGAACCATCTAAGCCAGTCAGTTCGAATTTTATTAAACAAATATACCCACAGGGGGTGCAATATGCCAGGCATTGTTCTAAGATTTTAAAATAATGCTTTTTAATATTTTCATCCTCATGACAACCTATGAGATAGGTACTATTTTTGTCCCCATTTTCCAGACGGGGAAATGAGGCACAGAGAGGTAAAAAATAGAAACAGAAGTTGTGCTTGTTCGTGGCTCACCAGGTGCTGGGTGAGTCTGACCTTCAGTGGTTACAGCTCCCACTGCACCTAGAGGGGCCGTGGGAACCCTGTTTGGCAGGGGCCTGAGAAACAGAGGCCTAGAGATTGACTGAATTGTCCAGGGGGCGTCTAGTGGCAGGAGCAGGGCGTTGAATCCAAGGCTTCCTGGCTCTAAAGACCATGTTCTCAGCTACTGAGCGAGGCTGTGTGTAGACCCCTAAACCTGGTCCTGGAGGGATTGCTGAAGAGGCAGGGATGTGATCCGTGCCTCCTGGGAGGCCACAGTTGAAAGGACAAAGGGACAACAGTGTGCTAACATTTACTGAGCTCCTGGCCCACGTGCCATCTGTGCTGCACATGCCCTCCCACTTGTAACCTGTTTAATTACATTTCAGGGCAGGAATATCCCCCTTTCACAGCAAAGAAACCTGGATCAGAAAGGCAAAGTAACCTGACCTTAGAGCCAGGTTGGATCTGGGGTGCATCTGATTTCTAAGCCCACATTCTTTTCCTCAGCAAGCTCTGCAGATACACAGAGCCAAGGAATGCGACCTGGTGGGCAGGCTGCTGCCACATCCTCTCCTCCCCAACCTGGGAGCGTCAGGCACAGCCACAGACGGCCTGGATACCAGCTGTTGTCCATCTTGGGGACACAAAGTCCCCGGCTCAGACCACAGATAGGGCTGAGCTCTCAGCAGCAGATGGGAAACATGGTGTTTAGCTCCCAGAGGAGCTGGGGTGCTGGCAGAGACCCCCAAGAGGAGAGACAGAGGTCCAGATCAGAGAGTATGCGACAGGTGGGGAAGGTAGCTGGGCTTGCAACCTGATGAGATCTTGGCTGGGTCTCTGAGGAGTCTCATTAAAAATCAAATTGGCCCTGAATTGTGGGAGTAACACTTTTTATTCTGATTTGAGCTTTACAAATTAGATTTCATAGGGCATTTTAATCAGTTATGTGTGGTGGGATTTTTTTTTTCCCCCTCTGTCTCTTCAAGTTCTCTGTTGTAATTAGACTGTTTCTGGAAGCAAAACAAGAGAGAAGGAGAGAAGAGATGAAAGAAGAGGAAGGAGAGTGGGAGAGACTGGCAGGAGGGTGAGGGGCGAAGTGCAGAAGGAGAGGCAGAAGGGAGCCGGGAAGGATGGCCGGGAGCAGAGGCAGCAGGGAAGGGTCAGGGGAGGTGGACGAGGAGGGCGGTGGGCAGAGAACATTTCTTTCCTAGGCTCTTTTCTCCTGGCTCTAATGATGATTTCACAGCTCATTCTTTTATCTCAAAAATCTTTCTTATAAGGACAGTGTCAAGACAGCCGCCATGGCTGCCAAAGATTGTGTTATCAGAGAGAATTATCAGGTTGTCAGCGGGGAGCGGAAGGGGCTATCCCGAGAAGGCTCTGCGTGCAGTGGTGTTGGCCCAGCCCTCCGCCTGTCCACTCACAGGGATGCCTGCAGTGGGTACTTGTCCCCTCCCTCCCACCTCCACTCCCTCTTCCTCCTGGCCTGGGTGAGGATGACTGGGGAGATGGGGTGCAGGGGCCCCTGCAGGTGGAGGTGCGGAGGGTGGTGGTGCGAGGGTGAGTCCACATGGCGGACAGAAACCTGAGCATGGGCAGTGTGCAGGGCCCCCCGAAGGGGAAGAGGGGCCGCGACCATGGAAGCCTGGCTGTGGAGGAGAGCTTGGAAGAAGGCTATAGAGATGACACTGAGGCGTCACTGTGACCTTCCGATGGGTGTCTCAGAACCAGGAGTTGGGCAGGCACATGATCCCCCAAGATTGGATCTGGGGCCCCAGAAAGAGCCTGACAGGTTAAGGAGGAGCAGGAGAGGGCCTGAGTTGGGGACAGAATGCAGGTCCCTCTGAGCAGGCTTCAGAGAGAGGTTCGGGTTCACATTTTAGTCTGTTTGGATTCCCTTGGCTTTTGTGGTAAGAATGTTTCTGGGGAGGCAGACGAACAGGATAGTCTCAAAAAAACCCACCCAAAGGACGTTATTTGCGAACTCTTTTCTGGAAGGGAATGGTTAGTGCTCCAATTGACAGTTTTCTTTATCAGCCTAATTTTAATTTTTGTACATTAAATATAAGCCCCTGGAAATATTTATTCCTTTGAATCGATGGATGCTTTTTCAAACAGAAGCGTAAGTGGAGTGTCACTCTCTAGGGCAGATAAATGATGGGGGGCTGTGGGCAGAGAGGTGGAGGGATGGATCTGCTTTCTTTGCAGGCAGGAGACAGCACTTGAGGCCTCTCCTTCAGGCTCAAAGCCCCGAGGAACACAGTGTGAGAGCCCTGCAAGTGGGTTTGTGCCCAAAGAATTCCACGCCCAGTCCCTCACTCTGTTTCTATTCCTCGTCTTTCCTACTCCCAAGAGGTGAGCTGCGAATGAGCCTGGGGTAATTTTCTATAGCCTCCTGGGCATTATGGTCAGTAGACAGGAACCTCTCTGAGAACACTGGCTTATGCAACACACATATCCTGAGACCTGCTAGGAGGCAGGTATTATGCTGTATTGGGAGAAACAGGGGAATCCAAGCTGGTGCGCCCCTCCACAAGCCTGTGTCTATACCCAACCACTCCTGGCAACTGATTGGAGAACAGAGTACATGCTGCATCGACTAAATCCTGCTCTCTTTGTAGACCCGACATACCCTGCACCATCCATCCCAGGTTTTCTGCCTCAGTTTCTCATGTTGTCCAATGCCATTCTCCCGGGAGCCCAGGGGTCAGCGTGACCTCCCTCTTGATGTTTTGGTTTTTCATCTGTCATCATTGCCAAGTCTGGCCCAGCCTCCCTCCACATCCTCGGGTGCACCCCTTCCTGTCCATTCCCATGGCTACAACCCAAAGTCTAGGCCCTTGCTTTCAAATCCTGCTCTGGATTTTTCTTCCTAATTCACCACTTTCCTCATGTTTTCCCCCTTCTCAAAGATAAAACTCTACTGGCTCTCTGCTGTCCGCAGTACAGGGTCTGACCTTCCATCCCGGCTTATCTGACCGTCTGTTCCCTAGAGCTCAGCAGCCCTGTGCTAGCTGTTCACTGATGCTGGCTGTTCTTTAATCTTCCCCCTCTTCCCTGCTTTTCCTTTTTCTCTCCTCATCTCCCTTAATTTCTTCAAACCCTTCTCAAGCATTTGCTATATGTCAGATGCCAAAGAAACAAAAGTAGATAAAAATGGAAAGCAAGCTCCTTGAGGGCAGGGGCCTTGGCTGTCTTTTCATCTTGCCTTCTCTGTGCCTGGCCTTGCATGTAAGCATTGAATAAATCTCGAATGCGCCTGTGAACTTGGAGCTTACCTACTCTAGTTTGACTCCTGAGACCAGGGGTCACTGTAGGAAAACTGTGTTTATATTATAAAGTACTGACTAGGTAGGTATTGTACTAAGTACACCACACAGAAGAGTAGGAAATAAAGGGAAGTCTCATGGAGTCAGGCTTTACAGGACAAAAATAACTGAGTTATTCATGGAAGAGCCACTTTATGCCAGGTCTTCAAATATAATTATAATGCTAGTTACCTGTTGTTACTCACATTTTATAGATGAATGGAGGCCCCTAGAAATAAGGCAATATGCTCAAGGTCACTCAGGGGGTCCAAGTGTAATTCAAACCCAAGTGTCTCTGATTGTAAATCCTGTGTTCTTGCCACTATTCCATGTTGGCTTCTGAATTAAGGGCCAGGAACCCAGATTTTGATTCGCAAACGGGTACCCACCCCACCAATCAGGCAGCCCCTTCAGACCATCTAAAGAGAAGCGGAGGATCTTTGGTGTGAAAAGCAGTTTCTTGGTTCTTCCCTGAGTTTACATAGCCTCCAACCAGCTGGTGGTCAACAACTCAGAATTAAGGCTCAAGTTGGAGTCCGGTACCAGCCAGGATGGCAGTGGGGGGATGAAGGAAAGGAGGTGCAATACTTATTGGTACTTTTTATATAACTATCTTATTATATTTATATATTATATATATACTTAATAGTCATTATTCATATATCTATATTATATACTATTATTAAAAAACTAGTTATATATTCTAAATAATATTTTTATTAGAAATTAATAGTAGCTGTCATTGCATGCAGAACATGTATTAATAGCTTTACATGGGTTGTTT